ATTATTATATAGTATTGGGGCAGCAGTAGCTCAGTCCATAGAGATTTGGCTTGGGAACCGGAGGGTGACCGGCTCAAGTCCAGCATGAACCAAAAAGTGTCTACTTTCTTTTTAATGTAGACAGCTTTGAAATGTTTCCGTGTCACAGTCTATACAGTGCTGGACATGGTTGTTAAAGGGGAATTTACACATTAACATTTGCACTTCTTGGTTAGCAGGAGCCAGCTGCAGAGGACAGAAAAATCGTTCTTTTTTCCATTGAGAAAAACCTGCAGCACATTTTTCTCTCCATTTCATATATGACTGATGCTATAGCAGCTTACAATAAACTCCTTCATATCTGTTATTTTTATTGTTCTTGCTGTCACTAATCCTTTTTGCCAGTGATGGAGGAACTGCATAAATGTACAAATAAATAGACAAAATGTACTCAAGTAAAAGTTAAAGTACCACATTAACCTTTCTATTTGAGTAGAAGCAAGTAAGTATTTGCTTGACGTAATGCTTGACGTATTTCAAGTACTTGCTGATGTAGCCTATTCTATTCGCTAATCCAATTATCTACTATGTCATCATGGCTGAGCCTTGGTCGAGGCCTTTTCCCAATCCATTTCAGGTTTTCTTCATCAGTGATGCTGCTGCTGCTGCAGGAGGCGGAGTCTAATGTTACCTGCCCACTCTGATTGGATCAGTGGATCAATTCACCTCTCATCATTGATAACATTTAGAAATATAAAAATCATGTAACAGTGCATTGTAAAAATATACTGATATAAGTAGTGAAGTAAAAGTGATTAACAGTTCTATCCCACTTCTGCTCCTAGCCCACACCAGCACCTGTCAGTATAATTCCTCCCTCATAGGACACTGATTGGTGTGAACCACTGTGGTTCAGCCACAAGTGAAAAACTAAAAGCCAAGCAAGGATGGATTCTCGTAAGAAATCCTGCTGCCGAAGAAGAATGTGTGGACTAAATAAGTTGATATCTCTGGTCTGGGTGTTGACCCTTAATAAATTTGACTGTCTATCATGAATCTAACAGGTTAAGTGTATTAATATTACATAGCAAAGGTGATTGCAATCAAGAAAAGACTAAAATCACAACTCGTAGCCTTCAGGTTTGTGTGTAGAAGAAATTCTTTATTATCATAGTGTGAATACTTCAGACTTCTTCATAGATATTTGTCACTCACGTTCAACAGGACATTGGTATGGTACACAGTATTTTTGTAAACATAGCCCAGGAAAGCCAGGGTGTATTTGTTCACATCCTCATGTGACAAAGTAACCCTGGATTACACTAT